AGAAAAACACACAACACAAAGAACACACACAACACACATACACACACACAACTCACATAACACACAAACACTGCATACTCACTCACATATCTACACACACACACACAAAGACCACACACACACACACTCACACACACATACACACTCCCCTGTAACACACAGACCACACTTACACACTCAGACACACACATTCAAACACATGACTCACACCAGTCACACAGACACACTCAGACACACTCAACAGCCACAAACCACATACACACACTCACACACACATCATGACCCACACACACATACACCAGACACACACAACACATACACCTTACACTAACAACACAGACACACTCACACACGACACACACACACATACAACCAAACACACACATAACACACACATACAACACACGACAACACACACACCATACAAACACACATCACACAACACACAACACACAACACACAACACAAAACACATAACACAGAACACATAAAAACACCTAACACACTAAACACATACACACAACACACAACACACAACACACAAATCACAAAACACTACACCACAACACACACCACACACACACACAATCACGCAATTCACACACCACACTCACACACACACAACACACCACACTAACACAAAACACCCCATAACACACCACACTCATACACACTCACTCACACACAACAAACCACACACACACACACACACACACACACACACAACACACACACACTCACACACACACACTCACAACACACACACACAAACACAACACTCACACACTTACTCAACTCCCACACACAACGACACCACACTCACTCAAACACAACACACACACCACAACACAACACACACCACACTCAACACACACACACACACAACACAACACACCACCACAACACAACACACACACACAACACAACCACACACCACTAATCACAAAACACCCACACACACAACTAAACACACACAACACGACAACACAACACACACACACAAACAGAACACACACAGCACATCAACAACACACACACACACACACACACACACTCACACACACACACACACACACACCCACACAACACAAACACACCTCAATACACACAACACACACAGGCCCACACACACAACACAACACACCCACACACAACAACAGCAACACACCAACAATAACAACACAACACACCCACACACACAACTCAACACACCCCACAAACAACACACCTCAAACACACACACACACACCACACTCTCACACTCAACACACACAACACACACACCACACCACACTCACAAACACACACACCTCACAAACACACAAACACACACACACACTCACACACACACACACTCACACACACACACACACCACAAACACACACACACACACACACACAATGACAACCACACTCACCACACACACACTCACTCACACACACAAACACACACACATCACCACACACACACACACAATATACAACACAAAACACACACACACACTCACACAAACAAACACTCACACACACAACACCACACACCACCACACACCAACACTACACAACAAAACACACCCCACATACACAACACACACACAACACAACACAACACACACACAACACACACACAACACACACACCACAACACAACACAACACAACACACCACACTCCAACACTCCTCAACACACACTCAAAACTCACACAACCACACCACAAACACACACAACACAAACAACCACTCACAACACACACAACACACACAACACCAACACGACACAAAACACAACACAACACAACACAACACAACACAACACCACACAACACAACACAACCACAACACAACACAACACTACACAACACAACACACACACCACACACACACACACACACACACACACACACACACCACGACACAGCACACCACACAACACACAACTCAATATAAACACACACACATCACAACTCTCACACATCTCACAACACAACACAACACAACTCAACACAAAACCCTTAAATTTAAAATATATTAACTTCAAACACCCTTGCCTGATTTGATGCCCTTCCCAATCAACTACTGTTTGATGCGTTAACACTGCCATGGTGGTGACTTCCCCTACGACACCTGCGTTTGACTTCTGAAGGCGATAGTTCATTTTCCTGGACTTGAGCAAGCAGCAGAGCACAGGTCAACTGCCGCGATGGGGAATTGAACAAATATCTATATATATATATATTAATTTTTAAAAAAAAAATATCTATCTATAAAAATATATATATCCTATCTAAATATATATATAGGACTAACTAAATTATATATAATATCGTATTATATATATATTTAAATCTATATATTATATATCAATTAAATCTATCTATATTAAATATAATAAATATTATTACAATATATATTATATAATATAAAAACACATACTATTATCTATAAAATAAAAATAAATAATATAAATATATATATATAAATGAAAACAATTATCTATCTAATTAAAAAAAAATAATAATATATATAATATATATATACCGATAAAAATATATATATAATATATATAAAATATATATATAAATCATATATAAAATCTAAAACCCAATATATATAATAATATATATAAAATATATAAATAATATTAAATCTAAAAATAAATAATTATATATCTACTTATATATATCAAATATATTAAAAATAATAACAATATAACTATATATAAATATATTATATAAATATTATCAAAATTATATAAATTATATCTAACATAACTAAATATTAAATACTATTAATCTAAGAAATATACATATATATAAAATAACTTAAATATCAATATATTCAAATAACAACATAACTATATAAAAACAATAAAAAAATCACTCATATATATAAATAAATAAACTAAATAAAACTATCACTATCTAAAATAACTCTAACACAATTCTTCATCATCACTAAATCAAAAAAAAATAACTAAACTCTACTCACTCTATAAAAAAGCTAATCATAACAATCTACAAACCTATTATCAAACTCAACAACACTCACTAGAAAACTCACTAAAAAACTAAACTTCTATCACTCATCACACTATACGTCTACAACTCACAACTCGACACACAACACACTCACTCTCAACCCTCAAAAACACTCACAATCTTATAACTATAACACAATCTACTCCCCATCTAACTTATACACACACAAGTCTAAAACTCTCACCCACACAATAACCCCCTCTCTCACAAACACACACTCTCTCAACTCAATCACAAACTCAAACTACCTACACAATCACTCTATCTAAACACTCTAAAACACATACACAAACAAAAAATATAACATAACAACACTCACACAATCAACTAATCACTCAATCAATCACACTAACTACAATAATATATATCAATATCTCTAATCAAAATATAAAACAATATATCTCTCACAAAAAAAAAAATATATATAAACAAATCAATCAAAAACTCTACACTCACTCTACAAACACCCTATCAAAATCACTCACAAACCACAACTCCTCATCACACACACTATCCAATATCTATATTCTCTAACCTTACAATTATCTCTCCACTCTCTCACACAACTCTCCCCAATACTTAAAAATATCTACACCTATCACACACACAAATCTCTCACAATCCTCTCACAAAATATCTATCTAAAACAAAAATAACCTAACAAAAACACACTCTAATAAATATAACAACTATCTAAAAAACTATCTAGCAAACAAACTCTCTCACAAATAAACTATAAACACTACAAAATCACAAAACACACTCTCACACACAAACTCACACTCTCTCTAACACAAAACACATCTCTATATCTAACCTCAATACCCAACTATCACACACACTATCTCAACACTCTCTAAACACTATATCACAACCAAACACTTCTCTAAACTCAAAAAACAAAAAATCAGCACACTCACACAAAACACAAACTCAAACTAATAATCAACAACATAATTCCCTCTAACATTCCTCACAAAAACACACTCACACAAACTCCTAACACACTCAAACACACACTATCACAAAACACTAACAATCAATATATAAATCTCTATCCTAACACCTCACTTCAAATCATCTATAACAACATTATATTCTGTATATATACAAATATATAAACATGTATATATGTATACAAATATACATACAAAAAACCTATACACATATATAGATATCAATACAGATATATACATATATACATATATATACACATATATACACATATACACATATACACATATATACATATATACATATATATACACATATATACATATATATACACATATATACATATATATACACATATATATATATATATATATATAATATATATGTATATGTGTATATATGTATATATACATATATTATATTTTTATATATACATATATATATATATATATATATATATATATATATATATATATATACATATATATATATATATATATATATATATATATATATATATATATATATATATATATATATATATACATACATATATATATATACACATATATATATACATATATATATACATATATAATATACATATATATATACATATATATATATATACATATATATATACATATATATATACATATATATATATATATACTATCTATATATATATATATATATATATATATATAATATATACATGATATATATATACATGTATATATATATGTATATATATATATATATATGTATATATTTATATGTATATATATTTATATGTATATATATTTATATGTATATATATATATGTATATATATGTATGTGTATATATATTTTCTGTAAGACACAATCATTTTCATGTGATTTTCTAGAATCCCTCCCCCCCCTTAAAAGACTGTTTACTGTATCAGTTAGAGATATGTCATAATTATAATTTTTTTATTGTGTACCTTTTTGTCAGAATGATACATTATTACCTGTGTTTATGATAGGAATTGAAAGAAGCAGCGGGGGAAGAAGAAGCAGAAGTGGCTGAACGCATGGCAGAAGCACTTCTTTCAGAGGACTTGCCAGATGCAGTATTTGGTGCACCAAAAGCTGGACCAGGGATGTGGGCATCTCTCATTCGGATTATAGAGCCTATCCAAGGAAACACCCTTTTTACAATGAGACTGGATCAGAATGAAGCAGCTTTCAGGTTAGCAAACTAAGGATGGTTCAGTAGCAGATCTAGTGCCTTATGTTTTTTTTACAGCTGTAGATAATTACAAATAAGTCAGTATTTCCTTGATACATTACTCTTGCTAAATTTGAATATCATTGCAACTTTTCCTTTTTTCCTAATAGAATCTGATGCCCTAAAAAGTACATATTTGTTAATTCAGCAGGAATTTTGGGGTAAATAAACTGGTCAACTTGTTTTATTTGTCACTTAAATGTATAGGTACTGTGAATAAATTGTTATCAGATATCTTACAAAAGATCCATGGTTGCTTTCTCTCAGTATTGCCCTGGTAAAGTTTGCAAATCAGAATGATATGGATCAGCAGTTCCTGTTGGTTGGAACAGTGAAGGACTACCAGTTAAGCCCACGTCAAGTTGACTGTGGATATATCTACACTTACAGGTAATTCAGTCTTTGAAGGTATACAGTTTATATTCATGATTGCAAAGCAGTATTGTAGATTTATAATATTTTATTTTCTGATAGTAATACACTGAAATTATTTGTTAAAAGAAGATAAATAATACAAAATATATATCTGGGAAAGTAATCCTGAAGAACTCAAAAGAATTTTCATTTTCTCTTTCCAGAATTGTAGGTGATTGTACTAGTCTAGAGCTAGTTCATCGAACAGAAGTTGAAGACATTCCAACAGCTTTATGCCCATACAATGGCAGAGTATTAGTAGGAGTTGGAAGGTTGCTTAGAATATATGACTTGGGGAAGAAGAAACTGCTTAGAAAGTGTGAAAATAAGGTAGATTTTCATAGTAAAGTTTTGTTCTAAAAGGGAAAAGCAATATATGATAGTTTTATGTGATTGAGTATGTAGATATGTGCTTTTTTTCATATCAAATATATTCTGTTATCTTAGGTTATGTATGAATTATTTTAATATAAATGTTTCTCTTAACAGCATGTTCCAAACCTAATTGTGGATATCAAAGCACGAGGACAGAGAGTTTTTGTTAGTGATGTTCAGGAAAGCTTGTTTGTGCTTAGATATAAAAGACATGAAAATCAGCTAATCATATTCGTGGATGACACAAACCAACGATGGGTGACCACATCTTGCCTCCTTGATTATGATACAGCAGCTGTAGCAGACAAGTTTGGCAACATTGCAGTGGTGAGTATTTGCAAACTAAGTTTTTATATGCTTACATCAGGAGAATGTATGATCATTTGAATTCATTTGTATATTTTTAAAAAATGTATTGCATTGTTTGTTTTATATAATTTACAGAAGAATCATCACCTACCCTTATATTATTAATTGGAGTCAGTTTTTACCTGTGGTGCTTTTGTATTTGGAAGATACCTTTTTTTAGTGAGATTTTCTATTCCCACAAATCATTTACAGATAAGGTTAGGTGGAGATACCAATGATGATGTCGATGAAGATCCCACAGGAAACAAGGCGCTCTGGGACCGTGGTCTGTTGAATGGTGCCTCACAAAAAACGGAAGTTATTGCCAATTTCCATGTAGGAGAAACTGTTAATACACTGGAGGTAAGACAATTTTGAAAGCTCAGGTACGATAGACATCATCATTTTAGATCCCTACATGGAGTTCATCAGATATCTAAGTAAGAATTACTAGATGATATACTGCCTCATCACTGATAAAAAAAAATCAAGACTATAAATTTGCAGCTATTAATGTGGAATCAATGTTTTGTTTTGCACCTATTAACCTTTCTGTGGAGGTCAACATCTTAAGACATTTTCTCAAGAGAGAGAGAGAGAGAGAGAGAGAGAGAGAGAGAGAGAGAGAGAGAGAGAGAGAGAGAGAGAGAGAGAGAGAGAGAGAGAGAGAGAGAGAGAGAGAGAGAGAGAGAAGGAGAGAGAGAGAGAAGAGAGAGAGAAGGAGAGAGAGAGAGGAGAGAGAGAGAAGGAGAGAGAGAGATAGAAGGAGAGAGAGAGAGAGAGAGAGAGAGAGAGAGAGAGAGAGAGAGAGAAGAGAGAGAGAGAGAGAGAGAGAGAGAGAGAGAGAGAGTCCCGGCGGCCTTCCGCGCGCGCTCCGGTCTCTCTCTCGCGCCATAGCGCACGCCTTCTGCTGCGCGCGCGCGCCCTCGCTCACGCCTGAGCGCTCTCGCACTCCGATTCGCGCTCTGCGCGCTCTGCCTCGCGTCTCGTCGCCGCTCGCTCTCCTCTCTCTCGCTCTGTCGTCCTCACTCCTTCTCTCTCGCGCTCTCCCTGCGCTCACTCCTTGCGCTCTCGCGCACGCCTTATCCTCTCGCTGCGCGCGCTCGCGCTCCGCTCGCTCGCGCTCGCTCTCTGCTCTCGCGCGCGCTCGTCCTCTCTGTCCTCCTCACTTCTCCCTCGCGCTCCGCTCTCTCTCTCTCTCTCCTTCGTTGAATCTGTCGTAGCTTTATGCTCTCTGCTCTCGCGCTCACTCCGCGCTGCTCGCGGCGCACTCCTATCTCGCTCTGCTTCCTCACTCCTTCTCTGCTCTGCTCTCTCACTCCATCCTCTCGCTCTCTCAACTTCGGCTCGCGCTCTGCTACCCTGTTCTCTCGCTCTCACGCCGTCTCTCGCTCTCACGCCTGCTCTCTCTCTCGCTCGCGCTCTCTCGTCGCGACGTCTCGCGCGTCCGGCTCTGCCAATCTCTCTTGCTTCTCTAACTCCGTCTCGCGCTAGCGCCTCTGCTCTCGCTCTCCTCTCGCGACGTCCACGACGGTCGCGCGCTGCGCACTCCTCGCTTCTCTCGCACTCCTTCTCGCTGCCGTCGCGCTGCTCGCCTTGCTCTCGCTCTCTCTCTTCCTCCTTTCTTCTCTCTCTCTCGCTTCTCTCTCTCGCGCACTCCGGCCGCTCTCTTCCAACGTCCTGCGCGCTCTCGCGCGCACTCCTGCTCCCCTCTCTCGCTCTCACTGCCTCTCGCGCGCGCGCTCGCACGCCGGCTCGCGCGCGCTCTCACTCTCGTCCGCGCTCTCTCGCAGCCTCGCTGCTCTCGCTGCACTCCTTGCTCTCTCTCTCTCGACACTCCTGTCTCGCTCTCGCTCGTCACCTCCTTCCTTCTCTCGCACGTCGCTCTCGCTGCTCACTCCTCTCTCTCTCGCGCTCACACTCCCTTCTCTCGCTCGCACTCACTCCTTCTCTGCGCGCGCTCACTCTGCGCGCTCGCTCTCTCGACTACCCCTGCTCTCTCTCTCTCTCACGCCCTTCTCTCTCTCTCTCACTCCTTCTCTCTCGTCTGCTCGCGTCGCCTGCTCGCTCTGCTCTCTCTCCGGCGCGCACGATCGACTCTGCTTCTCTCTCGCTCGCTCGCGTCGATCCCTGCTCTCTCTCGCTCGTCTCTCTTCGCGCGCTCTCCCCTCGCTCTCTCGCTCTCCCCTTCTCGCGCTCCTCTCCCCCTTCTCTCCTTCTCTCTCTCCCCGTCTCGAACGCGAGCTCTCTCCTGCTCTGCTCTCTCCGTGCTCGCTCGCGCGTCCTCCCGCGCGCGGCGCGCCCTCTCGCTCTCTCTCCCGCGCATCGCGCGGCTCCTCTGTCTCGTCTCGTCTCATTCTCGCGCTCTCTCCCTTCTCCTCTCTCTTCCTTCTCGCTCTCTCGTCTGCTCTCTCTCTCCTTCTCTCGCTACTCTCGCGCCTTCGCTCTACTCTCTCGCTCTCTCTCTCCTGTCTCTCTCTGTCTCCCCCCTGGTCCCACTCTCGCTATCCTTCTCCTATCGCTCTCCGTGGGCTCGCTCGCGCGCGCCTTGCTCTCCGCGCGCTCTCCTGTTCGGCTCTCTCTCGCTCGCCTTTTCCCTCCCTTCGCGCTCTCTCCTTTTCTCTCTCCCGTGTCTCGCTCTCCTTTTCACTCTCTCTCGTCTCCCGTGGCTCGCTTATCTCGCGCTCCCATCCAGGTTCTCGCTCGCGCGCGCGACCACTCCGTGGTCTCTCGATCTCTCGCTCCTTTTTCTCTCTCTCCACTCCGGCCGGGTCTCTCTCGCTCGCGCCCTCCTCCTTGTTCGCGCTCTTCTCGCTCTCCTTTTCGCGCGCGCGCGCTCCTTGCGCTCGCCTCTCTCTCTCGCGCGCTCCCTGTTCCTCGCTCACGCTGCTCTCTCCGGTATTAGCGCTCTCGGCGTGTTGGTTTGGGTTTCGCGCTCTCATCTCTTTTTTGTTCGGTCTCTCTCTCTCTCTGTTGCACTCGCTCGCGCTCTCCTTTTCTCTCTCTCGCTCTCGCTGCTCGTCGCGCTCTCCTTTTCGCTGCGCTCTCTCGTCCCTTTGCCGCTCTCTCCTTCTCTCCCTTTTCGCCGCTCTCTCTCTCTCCTTTGCTCTCTCCTTTCTCTCTCTCCGTGCTCTCTCTCGTCTCGTTCCCTTTTTCTCTCTCTCTCGCGCGTCTCTGCCGGTTGCCCGCTCGCTCTCGCGCTCCCTAGTTCTGCGCGCTCTCTCTCCTTCTCCTTTGCTCTGCTCTCTCTCTCCGTCTCTCTTCTCCTGCTCGTCCCTTGTTCGCTCTCTCCCTCTCTCCCTATCTCGCGCTCTCTCTCTCCCCTGTCTCTCTCTCTCGATCTTATCCTGTTCTCTTCTCTCTCTCTCCTTTTCTCTCTGTCGCTCGCTCGCTGCCTTGCGCAGCTCCCCTGTCTGCTCTCGCCCTTTTTCTCTCTCGCTCTCTCCTTTTCGCCTCGCTCGCGCTCGCTCCGTGCGCTTCTCGCTCTTCTCTCCTTTTCTCTCCTCTGCGCGTCGCGCTCCGGTGCTCTCTCTTCCGCCGCCGCGCGCTCTCTGCGCTCCTGGTTCTCGCTCTCGCCTCTCCCTTGTCCGCTCTCTCTCTCTCCTATTCTCTCTCTCTCGTCTCGCCTGGTCGCGCGCGTCTGCGCTCTCCGGATTCTCTCTCTGCTCTCCTCTCCCTTGTGCGCTCTCTCTCTCCGCTCCTTGGCTCTGCTCTCCTCTCTCTCCCTGTCTCGCGCGCGTCGCGCTCGCCGTTTCTCTGCTCTCTCTCCCGCCCGTTGCCTCTCGCTCTCTCTCTCCCTGTTCTCTCTCGCGCTCTCTCCTTTCCTCTCTCTCTCTCTCGTCCGCCAATTATATCTCGTTCTCTCTCTATCTCTCCTTTTCGTCTCGCTCCTCTCTCCTATGCTGCATCGCGTTCTCCTCCCTCGCGCGCTCTCTCGCTCTCTCTCTCTCTCCTTCTCCTTCTCTCTCTCTCTCTCCTCCGTCGCGCGCCGCTCTCTCCTTCTCTCTCTCTGCGCTCTCTCGCTCTCGCTCGCTGCTCTCTTCGACTCTCTCCTTCTCGCCCCGCGCGCGCCGTCGCTCTGCGCTCTCTCTCGTGCTCGCTCCGCTCTCTCTCTCTCTCTCTCTCTCTCGCGTCTCGCGCTCGCGCGCTCTCGCGCTCGTCTCCTGCTCTCCAGCTCTATCCTTCACGCGCACTCCTTCTCTCTCTCTCCGTTCTCGCTCGCTCGTCTGTCTCTCCTACACTCTCTCTCGCTCTCGCCTTCTCTGCGCTCCCTCTCTCACTCCGTCATCTCTCTCTCACTCGCTCACACGCCTTCTCTCTCTCGCACTCCAAGCCGTTCTTCTCTCTACTCTCACGCCTGCTCGCGCTCTCCCTCTCACTCCGGCGCGCTCCTGCCGCTCACTCTCGTCTCGTCGCGCCTCGCACTCCTTCTCTGCTCTCCGCTCTCCGTCTTCGCTCTCCTCTCTCTCTCCTTCTCGCGCCGCACTCCTCGTCTTCGCGTCTATCGTCTCTCGTTCCTGTGCTCCGCGCCGCGCTCGCGCTTCCTCTCGCTCTCTCTCCCCCTGCGCGCTCTCTCGCTCTCCCCTCTCGCTCTCGTCTCTGCTCCCCCGTCGCTCTCTCGCTCTCTCCTTCTCTCCTCTCTCTTCTCGCCCTGTCGCGCTTCTCTCCCCTCGCTCGTGCTCTCCCTCTCTCTCTCTCGCCCTCTCGCTCGTCTGCTCACTCGCGCTCTCTCCTTCTCTCTCTCTCCCTGTCTCGCTCTTCTTTCCTTTCTCGCTCGCTCTTCTCTGCTCGCTCTCCCTTCTCTCGCTCGCGCGCGCTCTCTCTCTCTTCTGCTCGTCTCTCCTTTTCTCTTCTCCTCTCTCCTTCTCTCTCTCTCAGCTCCTTTCTCTCGCTCCTCGCCGTGTCTCTCTCGCTTCGCTCCTTTCTCTCAGCCGCCTCTTCCTTTTCTCTCTCCCAGGCTGCTCTCGCGCCTTTTGCGCTCTCCCTGTCTCTCTCGGCCTTTTCTCTCGCTCTCTCCCTTTTACTCTCGCGCTCTAGTCGCCCACTCCGTTTCTCCGCTCTATTCGCGTCCCACGCCGTTTCGCCGCCGTCGGCTCGCGCCCACACCTTTGTCCCTCTCGTCGCTCTCGCCCACTCTTTTCTCGCTCTCGCGCTCTCCAGTGTCTCGCTCGCGTCGCGCCCGCCCGGGCGGCTCGCGCGCGCGCCGCTCCTTTTCTCTCTCTCTCCGCTCTCCTTTCTCTCGCTCCTCTCGCCGTTTTCTCTCTCTCTTCTCCCTCTCTCGTCTCCGATTCTCTGCTCTTCTCTCGCTCTCCTTATCTCTCTCATCTCTTTTTTTTTCTCTCTCTCTCTCTCTGTGTCCGCTCTCCTCTCGCCCTGGTCCGCTCGCTCGCATCTCTCATCTCTCGCTCGCTCTCTCTCTCTCTCTCTCTCTGCCTTTGCTCACCCTCTCTCTCTACTCTCCTTTGCGGCTCTCGTCGCTCTCTCCGCTTTTCTCTCGCTGCGCTCTCTCTCCGTTTTCCTCTCTCCTTTTCTCTCTGTCGCGCTCGCGCCTTTTCTTCTCCGCATCTCTCCCTGCCCTTTTCGCTCTGCCTCTGCCTCCTTTTGCGTCGCCGCTCTCTCTCTCTCAACCGTAGGTCTCTCTCTCTCTCTCCTTCTCTCGTCTCTCTCTCCTTTCGCCTCTCTCTCGCGCCTCTCCTTTGTCGCGCCGCTCGCTGCCTTGCTTCTGCGCTCTCTCTCTCTTCCGTGTCTCTCTCCCTTGCTTCCTCTCCCTGGTCCGCTGCGCTCTCTCTCCCTTTTCGCTCTCTCTCTCGCTGCTCTCCTTTTTCTCTCGCTCTCTCGCTCCTTTTCGCTCTCTCTCTCCTCTCGCTCGTCCGTTTCTCTCTCTCCCTCGCCTTCGCTCTCTCTCGCTCTCTCAGTGGTGCTCGGCTCTCTCTCTCTCCGTGTCTCGCTCGCTCTCTCCGCCGGTCTCTCTCTCCTCTCTCCTGTCCGCGCGCTCTCTCTCTCCTGCTCTCGCTCTCTCTCGCCGTGTCGCTCTCTCCGCCTGCTCCTGGGCTCGCTCTCGCGCTCCGTCCCCTTTCGACTCTCTCGGCTTCTCTCCTTTGCTCCCTCTCTCTGCTCTCTCTTCTCTCTCTCCTCTCTCTCCGTTGTCTCTCGCGCTCGCTCTCGCCGTGTCTCTTCTCGCGCTCGCGCTCCTTTGCTCTTCTCACGCTCTCCTTTTCTACTCTCGCGCTCTCCTCGCGCTGCTCGCTCTCTCTCGCTCTCTCCTTCTCGCTCTCTCTCTCGCCTTCTCTCTGCGCTCTCTCTCTGCGCTCTCTCTTCGCGCCTGCACTCTCTCTCTCCACTCTCTCTCTCTCTCTCTCTCTCTCTCTCCTTCTCTCCCCTGCCTCTCCTTCTCACTTCTGCTCTCTCTCTAGCGCTCCGCCTTCTCTTCTCGCCGTCGTCTCTCTCCTTCTCTCTCTCTCTTCTCGCTCGCTCCTTCTCTCGCTCTCTCTTCCTCTCCTGTCTCCCTTCTCTCTCTCTCTGCTCTCCCCCGCTCTCACCTCCGACTCGCTCGCTCACTCTCTCTCACTCCTTCGCTCTCTCGCTCTCACTCCGTTCTCTCTCTTCCTCTGCGCACTCCTTCTCGCCGCTCTCGCTCGCTTTGGTCTCACAGCCTTCTCTGCTCTGCTCTCTCTCGCTCAGCTCCTATCGCGCTTCTCACTCCTTCTCTCTCCTTCACTTCTTCTCTCTCTCTGCTCTCACTCCTTTCTCTCTCTGTCGACTCTCACTCCTGCCTCTCTCCTCCTCTCCATCTCTCGTCTCTTCTCTCCTTCTCTCTCTCTTCTCTCCATTCTCTCTTCTTCGCCTTCTCGCTTGCTCTCTTCCTCCTCTCTCTCTCTCCTCGCTCTCTCTCTCTACTCTCCATCGCTCTCTCTCTCTCTCTTCTTATTTTGTTGTTTTTGCTCTCCTTTATCTCTCTTTCTCTCCCTCTCTCTCTCTCCTCTTCGCCCTTCGCTTCTCTCCCCTTCGGCTCTTCTCTCACTCGCTCTCGCTCTCCCCTCTCCCTCTGTATCGTCGCCTTCTCTTCTCTCTCTCTTCTCTCTCTCGCCTCTCTCCTTCGTCTCTATTCGTCCCTCTTCGATCTCCTTCTCTGCCTGGTCTTCTCTTTTCTTGTTCCTTGTCCGCGCCCCGTCTAGCGCTCTTTCGCTCGCCTGCTCTCGCTCTCACCCTCCGTCTCTCTCTCTCTCTCTCTTCTCTCTCTCTCTCTTCTCTCTCCTTCTCGCTCGCTCTCTGCCAGACGCCCCGCCTCCTCTCTCTCGCTCTCCTCTCTCGTCTTCTTGCTCTCTCGACTGCCTTTCGCGCGCTCTCTCTCAACTCCTCTTCTCGCTGCTCCCTCTCGCACTCCTCGCTCTCGCTCTCTCACCCCTTCTCTTCTCCGCCTCCATCTCTCTCGCTGCTCTGCTCCGCGCGGCTCTCCGCTCCTCTCCTTGCTCTCTCTCCGGCGCACTACGCTCTCCTCTCCCCGTTCTCGTTCTCTCGGGTCTCTCTCTTTCTCGAAGCAATCCTTTCGTCTCGTCTCTCTACCCTCTGCTTTATCAACTCCGGTCTTCCTGCTCTCACTCCTCTGTTGGGGCCCTGTCTCGGTGTTTCGGCTTGGGTACTCTCCCGCGCTCAGCCTTCCGTCGTCTCTCTCAGACTCCTGTGGTTCTTTCTCCTTTCAGACGCGCCCTCTGCGCACGGTCGTCTCTCTCGCTCTGCTACGCCTTCCGCTCTCACTCTCGCGCGCAAACTCCTTCTCTCTCTCACTCACGCTCTGTGCTCTTCGCGCTCTCTCTCCGTCTCGCTCTGGTCGTCGCTCTCTACCATGCCACGCCTATCGTCTGCGTCGCGCTCTTCTCACAACCGTCTCCGGCTCCTCTCTCTCTCGCTCACTCCGTCTCTGTTTTTTTCTTCGTCCCTCAACGTCCGTCGCGCTCGCTCTCCTTCTCTCTCTCTCTCCGTCGCTCTCTCTCTCCTTGCGCCTCTCTCTACTTCGCTCTCTCCTTTCTCTTCCTTCTCTTTCTCTCTTTCTCTCTCTCTCATCTCTCTCTTTCGCTCCCGTCGCTCTCCTTCTCTCTACTCTTCTCGCTTTTCTTTGCTACCTCCTTCTCTCTCGCCCTCGCATTCTCCGCCGTCTCTTACTCCTTCTCGCTTTCTTTCCGCTCCTTCGCTGCTTCTACTTCCTGTTTCGGGTCGCCGCCTTCTCGTGGGGGGCGCTTCTCCGCTCCTTAGTTCTCGCCTCCTCCTCGTCTCTCGTCTTCTTCTCGTGTCACCGCCTTCTTCGCTCCTGCTCTTCTTTTCTCGGACTCTGCTCTTCGTCGGCTTCGCTCTCTCCCCTCTCTCTTTCTTTTCTTTTTCGCTCCTTCTCTCTCTCTCCTCCTGCTCGCCGCACTCTCGCTCTCTCTCTCGCTTCTAGCCCTTGCTTCCCTCCTCCCCCTCTCTCGCTTTTCTCTCCTCTCCCGCCGCGTTTTCTCTCTCTCTTCTTCTGCTCTCTCTCTCTCCTTTTCTCCCTCTCTTTCCTCTCTCTCTTCTTCCTCATTTCTTTTCTCTCTCTCTCTATCTCTCCGTCTCTCTCTTCTCTCGTTCTCTCTCGCGTCTGCTCTCTCGGGTCTCGCCTCCTGTCTTTCTCTCTTCCTCTTTTGTTCGTCTCTCTCTCTCGCTCCTCCTTCTTCTCTCTCTCTCTTCTCCTCTCTTCTCTCTCGTTCTCTCTCCTCTCCTCTCTCTTCTCTCTTCTCTCTCTCCCGCGCCAAAACCCTTCCACCCCTCATGCTTACCACACGACCTTGCAAACACCCAACAACAGACGATGAGGCTGGATCCTACCCTGACTGCAGACAAACAACACAGATGCAGGGATTTCCACGCCATTACACATTAAACAACAGGTTCAGGGTATCTTGCACCTATCAGATTCCATATGATAAAATAAATCCACATCCCACCCTTAAACTCATCTCCAGACAAGAAACGAAACCACAGGTAAGTAACTAGGAAGCCACACCTCTATTCAAGAGGAGAAACTGAAAAAACCTGAAAACAATAACAACAATTAAAACAATTACATGCAACATTTTAAAAAGAACTGACCTGAAACTATACATATCTCTGATGACTCTGATTATTTGCAACAGAGCGAGACAGTACTGCCTGTATTGCTCGTTCACCCTTTTCCTCGGTTTACGAAAATATTTAATGTTACTCTGATTTGCTGTTAAAAATAACACCATCTATATTTATAGCATTAGTAAGAATACATTTTTTCCTGCCAATTCAAGGAAAGGTGAAATCAGGACTAGCAGAACCATCTATGTACAGAGATATTTCACAAAAATATGAAAAATAAGTACAGCATTTTCCCTGCGGGGTTTGTTACAGAAATCCGCCCACTGTGGAAGGGTTAGCACGTGAATACCCCTGGCTGCTAAATTGAATATCCTTTTGATTTTGATTTTTTGTCAGTTGTACAGCTAATAGTGCAAGTTATCTAAGATGTGTAATTATGAAAAACATCTTTAGAAAACGCATGAATTTAGTATATAGCAGAACTATGAAGCCCATATCAAGGGTATATCTTTTATAACCCTGTTGCAAATAATTAAAGTCATCAGAGATATGTATAGTTTCAGGTAGGTTCTTTTTAAAATGTTGCTGCTCCCTTCCACAAGTAGAGCTACATCTAATTGTTTTAATTGTTGTTATTGTTTTCAGGTTTTTTCAGTTTCTCCTCTTGAATAGAGAGAGCTTCCTATACATACCTTTTTCTTCTTCTTCTTGATATTATTTTAATGGTACGTGAATTATCTAACAATGAAACTGATAGTTGCAATAAACTTAACCTTGTAAAGTGTAATGCTTGGAAATCCCTGCAACTGATTTGTTGTCTGCAGTCAGTTTAGGAATCCAGCTCGCTTCAGTTTTGGTGCAGTCAGTGAGGTCAGCATTAGGGAGCCTGGAATATTCATAGAAGTGTTTCCTACTTGGTTTGAATTTCTAGTTAAACCTACATATAGACGTAATATATGTAATGTATATAGACATAAAGAATCATCAAGCTTTTTATTTTATTTTCTCAAGTAACTCGGTATTACTTTATGACTTCATTCCTTATTGTACTGTATGAAGTACTGGGAAACTATGAAATGTTACAATTTGCTTTTCTCCCACAGAAAGCCACTTTAATTCCTGGAGGCAGCGAGTCTCTTGTATACACTACCCTGAGTGGCACTGTTGGAGTTCTGGTACCATTTACATCAAGAGAAGACCATGAGCTTTTCCAAAACTTGGAGATGCACATGCGGTCAGAGCATCCTCCACTCTGTGGACGAGACCACCTCTCCTTCAGGTCTTACTTTTTCCCTGTAAAGGTAAGAAATGAACATTTCTTTCTGGAAATTAACCCAATGCCGCCGGATATGACGTGTACGTACGTGCTATGCCCACCGTGAGTACTTGTTTGATTGTTTTTACACATAGATGGCAACACTTGTACTAACTCCCCAATGGGCCAGTCACGAGTACCGCCTGTCTCGCCCATTTACCCGTTTCTATGATTTACGAAATATTTTACGTTATCTTATTTTGCTATTACTAATGTTAAAAAACATTATAAAAATTATAATGTTTATGATAAAATTGACACCATCGATTTTCATAGCACTAGTGAAAAATACGTTTTTCAAATCAGGCGCTAGCAGAGCCATCTATCGGCAGACATTTCACGAAAAACAGAAAATGGGCACAGCATTTTCCCCATTTTTTGTTCATTTTCCCCGGCGGCATTGGGTTAACTGAAATTGATAGATAAAAAAGGAAATATTTCATTTTGTATGTAATTACTTTGTACTGTTGTATTGGCAGTTTTATAGTTGATTAATCAGAGAGAAAATTTAGATGATTTTATCTTTCAACAGAATGTCATTGATGGAGACTTGTGTGAGCAGTTTAACATGGTAGATCCAGGAAAACAGCGCAGTATTTCAGAAGACTTGGATAAGACTCCTAATGAACTTTCAAAGAGATTAGAAGACATTAGAACTCGCTATGCCTTCTAAGCAGTATGTTTGTGCCGATTAATTTTTCACAGGAATGAGAATTTTTTTTAATGAAATATCCCTATGACAACTGCTTGTACCCATGTTGTACCAAGCCATGTGCTGTGTACTGCATGCAGTCAGCTACTCAAGTAAATAAATAAAATATGGAAAGCATACATTTTGCCTATTGTTTATAATTTAGGTTGAAGCATATATGATTTATCTATAAAAGATGCTAGAAATATCAGTAATAATTATCATTATTGTTATCATTATGATATGGTTATTGTAGGTATTTTTCTTTGGGTGTGTATACCTGTTAGAGTGGACTTACAAGCCTTTGATTTATCATATTACTTTTTTGTATTTAGATTAAATGATAGTCTGATTTTTTACATCCTTCAATTGCAACTTTTCTTAAATTTCAGAGAATTAAAACCACAAGAGAAAAGATACTATAAGTACAATAAGGGTAAACTTGAGAAATGTACATACTTTTTTGTGGTTACTGATAAGCCAAAGGACCTTTTTATGGGTAACTATGACCTTCAGCTTCCAGATTGGACTGCTAGAGACAATATGTATTGGATTTTGGAACATCCATCAGCTGTCCAGTTCCTTGAATGCTGCAAAATGAATTGTGTGTACACGTACATGTGTATGTAGCTATGGGTGTGCCCAATAGGTGTGGCCAGGGGAAAATATTCAGCCATTTGTGTGATGCTACATTTTTTAATGTGCACCTAATCACTCAATGTGAAAGATTTTTTTTTATAAATGAAGAAGGCACATAATATTCTGATTGGAATTACCCAATAGGTTTCTAGTTTGTAATAAATGTGCTGACATACAAGATTTAAAATATGTGTTTTTTTGTTGTCTTTTATTAACCTTTTGTCTCAACCTAATCAACCGTCAAACTACATACGTACCTTCATATAGTTGCTGAGGCATTTTAGACAATTTGACCCCTCCCAGTCCCATGCCCATTGTTGTGGGGGCAGGGGGCCCAGCCCTTGACTCAAATTTTGCATGGTCTTCCCTTGTTAATTGTTAAGGTGACTTTTTATCTTCCCCACTTATTTCATAACTTGGCCCCCCCCAATCCCTTGCCCGTTGTTGTCGTGGGGGGGCTTAGGAGGCGGAGACTGGGACCCAATGATGGGAACTCCCCAACCTTGGGACTCAGCCCTCGACTCAACTAATTATGCATGGCCTTTTTCCCTTCCCACTTTTGTTTCTATCCCTTCACCAAACCCTTCTGCTATCCACCTCCTAAGGTGTGAGAGCCGTGCTGAAAGGATGAAAGGCTGACTTTGTGCCAGTCCTGAACGGCCTGAGGGAGCCATGGGCACGGTATTCCCCTGATTTAGTTATCTAGCCCTTACCCCTCAAGGGGACCCTGAGGGGTGGACTGTTTTTATCCCCAACATAATCCAGGCTTACCATGGCCAGTAATGAAAATATATCCCCACTGTTAGGGGCAATGAGACTTGCCCCTTTATCAAATAGCCCCAACGAAGTAAACCCACCTGATTCCCCGACCCCAGGCTCTCCTTTGACCACGGCTCCGAACACTGCAATAACTACCCCTTCACCAATGCCTACTAGTACAGTAGCCAATAATCAACCCTCAAGGAACATTTCCACTCTCCCAGCATGCCCAACTTCAACACCTCTACCCCCACAACCTCCAACATCAACCACCCCATCCTCCCTTATTAATACCTTACAGCCTTATAGCCCACCTCTCCATAACACTACCTCCATCAACACTACTCCATCTTCGTCACGCCCTCGCCCTTCTACCACCCCTATCTCTAAAACAATCTTGAATACTCTCTTCAGTGCAGCCAAATGGGACCGATTTTTCGTGATCCCTCCCACAGCTCCCTACTCTGACAACACCCTTCTCTTCCAACAATGCCTCCAAAAACAAGTAGGTAAAGTCTCTTTCCGTAGCCGACCCGACCGCTCCCGTCTTGTAACAGTAACATCCGAAAACCAAGCCATAGCATTAACAAAACTAACTGACCAATATGGTAACCCCATCCTAGCAGAACCCCATCCAACCCTCAATACTTGCACCGGAACAGTCTCAATCTCACCAACAAATTGCCCAATCTATGACAAAGATTGGTCAGATTGTGGAGAAGATCTACTTGCCTGTCTCACAGACTACGATGCAACATCAGTACAATGCTACTCAATCCCCCCCAGAGGTCATCGAAAGAAACCCACTAACATAGCCAAAATTACCTTCCGTAGACATGACCTTCCCTTTAACGTCTACATAGGAGGAGAATCCCTCCCTGTTCATCCATACCAACCTCCTCCACGTCAGTGCCAAAATTGTTGGCGTCTAGGACACCCAGCCAAACACTGCCGTTCCACAGCCAGATGCCCATTATGTGCCCAACCTGGCCATACCCGATCTAACTGCTCTGCACAATCACGCACATGTGCCAACTGTGGCAGCCCCCATAATGTATTTTATAAGGGCTGTCCCACCTACAAATTTGAATCTGAGGTAGCAACTCTCAAATTCAAACTTGGACTCACACTGCGTGAAGCCAGACAGGAAGCACGTCGACGTGGATTCTCTCTTACTCCTTACTCCAGTAATACTGCTCATTCTAACACTTCTCCTAGACCCACCCCTCCTACATCTAACCCCCCCACTTCTACCTCCTACCTTCCCCAGTCAAACTCTTTTGCCATCCTAAATCCAGAAACTCCAATCTCTAATACAGATACTCCAATCACCACTACAACCCCAACACCTTCCCCTCTCCCTCCTCGCACTCCCCGTAACAGACAGAACAAACGGTCCACCCCCTCTTCCCCTACCACAGAATCACCTCCACCATCCTTTGCCCCTACTCTTGAAACACCAGTCCTCTCTTCCCCCCCTCACAAGAAATCCTTTATCCCCCACAACTCCCCAACCAACTCCTCAGAAGAAACTATTGAAAATATTCAAGATTACTTAATGCAAACTGACACTCAACCTACAACCCCTGCTCCTTCCACACTCCAAGTAACTGCTGATATCCATCCCCCTCCTAACGATATCCCCCCTACACCCTATCCTCCTACCCCCTCCCAACACAGCCCATCCCCCCCGACCCCGACCCCAACCCAGCCCACATTAACCCTCCCACCATCCCCTCTATCCCTTCCACTCCCTCCTGGATACACACGTGAATCCCTTATGTCACAAGTATCCCCTTCCTCAGACCCTCCATCTCCTAATACCCCTCCAGATAGAACACCAACTCCCACATCTCTCCCATCTCAAACCTCTCGGTCCTTATCCCACCCTCTAGTTGATTCCCCCTCAAAGTCTCCAACACGTACTGCAATCTATATCACTAAATCAACGAAAGTATAACTATCCTTCATTGGAATATTCGCGGTTTCCGCTCCCACAGACCTGACCTTCGTCATATCCTTTCCTCTTATAACCCATCTATTGTATGCCTTCAAGAAACCTTTCTTACACATCCTCCAATACCAATCCCCAATTATCATTTTGTCTCTTCCCCACATTCCCTTTATGTCTCGTCTATACTTATCAATCAGAAAACACCTTATGTCACACCACCCTTTCAAACCAATGTCCCTTGTACAGTTATTCGTATCTTCCTTCATCGTTGGATCACAGTGATTTCAGTCTACTTCTCCCCTTCCCACCCCATTGACTTTGTTGCTTTTGAAAATCTAATTTCCCAACTTCAACCACCTTTCCTCATAGTAGGCGACTTTAACTGCCGCCACACTCTTTGGGGTGATTCTATTACCAACTCCCGAGGCCGATCTCTAGAGCGCTTCCTCTCCACAGCTGACCTTACTATTCTAAATTCAGATCGCCCCACACACTTTGATACACGCACGCAATCTCTTTCATGCATTGACCTCTCTCTATGCTCCCCTTCTCTTCATATAGATTTCCACTGGTCAGTCTTAGACCACTTTCCCTATAGTGACCACTTTCCAGTTCTCCTTTCTCCTACTTCATACGTACCACTCTCCTAACTCCCCACGCTGGTGCTTTGATAGAGCCGACTGGCATACTTTCACTTCACTCTCTGCTATTCATACCCCTCCATCCTCCCTCACCTCCATTTCAGAAATGATACAATGTTTCACAACTACAGTCTTAAGAGCTGCACATACAGCTATCCCTCGAACCTCAAGACCATATACCTCTAAATGTGTTCCATGGTGGAATTCTGATTGCACTAAAGCACTTCGCTTAAAACGTGCAGCCTGGAACAGTTACCGCTACAAGAGAGGTACTCCAAATCAACTATCAGCCCTTATCTCCTTTAAAAGAGCATCTGCCTGTCTTCGTCGTACAATCCGGAATAGTAAAACAAATAGCTGGCGAAATTATGTTTCATCAATTACATCCTCTACATCTATCTCAAATGTATGGCGACGAATCCATAAACTATCAGGCAAACATCCCCCCCATCCTGCCCCCGTCCTCCATATTCGAGATACCCTCATTTCTGATCCTCTCCAAGTCGCTAATGAACTGGGTGATTATTTCAGCCAGGTCAGTAGTGGCTCTCACCTTTCTCCACACTTCTCTTCTATCAAGACCACCAGAGAACGTACCCCCATTACCTTCACCCCATCCTCCGCTGAGTCCTATAATGCCCCATTTTCTTCCTCTGAACTCATTACTGCCCTACAATCGTGCCGCAACACTCATGAAGGCCCTGACGTATTCACTACGTATGCTCCGGCAACTCCCATCTTCCTCCTTATCCTTCCTATTAAAATTTACAACCACATATGGACATCAGGAAATTTTCCTTCTAATTGTCGAGAAGCACTTATCCTTCCCTTCCTAAAACCCAATAAATCGGGTACCCTCCCTCAAGACTATCGCCCCATCGCACTAACTAGCTGCTTGTGCAAACTATTAGAGCGAATGGTGAACTTCCGCTTAATGTGGTATCTTGAATCTCACAATCTTCTATCTCCTTCCCAATTTGGTTTTCGCCGTACCAGAAGCACAGCTGACCCCCTTGCTCATTTTGAGACATATATTACATCCGCATTTGCACGCCATGAATCCGTACTAGCTATATTTTTTGATCTAGAAAAAGCATATGATACGACATGGCGGTACCACATTCTCCAACAATTGTCCTCTCTAGGCATACGTGGAAACATGGGTGTCTTCATAAAGTCACCCACTTTCCAGGTCAAAATTGCCTCTGCTACATCATCTTTCTTTCCTCAAATCGAAGGTGTCCCACAAGGCAGTGTGCTCAGTACCACTTTATTCCTTCTTGCTGTTCATGATATTGTCTCAGTTTTACCACCAGGAGCCCGGTCATCACTATATGTTGATGATTTAACCATCTATGCCTCTGGCACATCCATACCAAATCTCTACCAATTTCTTCAATCTGCAATATCATCAGTATCTTCCTGGGCCACAAACCATGGATTCCGTTTTTCTACCTCTAACTCTTTCTCCATCCTTTTCTCTCGCTCACGTTTAGGTCCCCTACCCCCACTCTTCTTATATGGCACTCCACTCCAATGCCGTTCCTCTGGCAAATTCCTAGGTGTCATTTTTGACTCCAAACTGTCCTGGCTAGACCATATTCTACACATTAAAGAAAAAGCTCTCCGCCGCCTTCGAATTTTAAAAACTCTATCCCATATATCATGGGGCTCAGATCGCAAAACTCTCCATCTTCATGTTACTTTGATCCTCTCCACTCTTGATTATGGATGCCATATCTACTCCTCTGCCTCAACTTCTCTCACTGTGGTCTTCGCTTAGCACTAGGTGCCTTCCGCTCCTCTCCAGTTGAGAGCCTGTACTCTGAATCAGGCATACCATCT